GAGAGAGAGAGAGAAGTCGGTTTATCTCAAACATTTATGCGAAAAAACGGACCGACCTTTTGTCTCGCTTTTAGCCGCATTAACGCAACAGGTTCCAACATTTATTTTCTCAGATAAGTGTTGAATTAAGGTACTACCCGGAACCAATGTGCTTTTAATTCGGGACAACAAAAGAGCCGGAGTACCTATGCTCCGGGGCTCCTGCGAACGTAGACGACACGGGAAATCATGCAACCGGGACTTAACTGTCTGTATGTGAAGCTCGGTATTAACCGCGCTTACCCCGCTATATACCGCATCCGTGTAAAAATGAAGCGTTTTTCTGCCTCTTAGTGCACTCCCGAATAATTTTCGCTGGGACAGCGCAGCGAGGACACATCTGGCTCGCCCAAGTTTTTAGTCTTCTCAGACGTGCTTAGCATTTTATATACTGTAATCGCGCAAACGGAAAGTGTTTGCATTCTTCTCGCGGAAGATTAATAACCGAAAAGAAAAAAAGAAAAAAAAAGAATGAAATAAAATGGAAATACAGATCGTGAGACAAAATATCCTGCTGTAGCTACTATTAGGAATTATATACTACACAGGACGTATGTTTTTCAATGTAAACATCGCGCTATTCTCCGCCGTGCTTTTAATTTATAGAAACAAAGGCTTTTGAGGTCGCGGTTCTATTCTGAGATATTTCGAGATTATACCGGGAATCCACGAAACCGCAATGTAGACAATCTGCCCCTAGGAGACCTTGCAATATGCTCGCACGTGATCATTCCGTGCAGATAAAAACGACATGTTTTTATATCTCGAAAACACTCTATTTTATTTAAAAAGATATTACGTACGAGGATGTGTGTATTTTTACTGACGTTCCGTCAGCCAGCTTCCTGTTTCGAGTTAACACAAACATATTTTCTTTCATTCATCAATGCTAGAATTATAAAAAGCTCGAACATGCTCGGCTTATGTCATATGCTTTTACATGATTTCATTTATTAATGTTATTATATTCGATAACGATGAGAAACATGTTAAAGTTATTATTATTATCACGTGTACGTGCGGATCGCATATAAATCTATATCATACAATAAAATTGCACTCTACCTGCATGTACAATGTACAGTACACTACGATATTTGTTCATTAGCATTGTGTACGACGGCCCGTACCGCGAATAATATTAATCCCATAAACAAGTGCCGCTGCGCTAAGTAGCTTCGTTTCATTATAAGCTTTCGAGTCAATCGACCATTCCGCCTCGTCGAAGTCCTTGTGCCGCACTGAAAAGAGGGATCAAAGTGTCCCCATTTGACGAAGCATCGCTGTCTGTCTGAGTTGCGAGAGTTAACAGCGACGTAACTCTCCCGATTGAAACAGTTGTTTCCGAGCTTTCCGAGATGTAACAACGTTCTCATGGGTTTAATCGTTAAAAGCTGCACGAGAGAGAGAGAGAGAGAGAGAGATGAAAGTGATAGGAGTCGTGCAACATGAAAGGCCTTCTCTGACCGATGACTTGAATGCGGTGTAGATGTAGATACGCATAGCTACGTGTAGGAGTATGCGAGTTATGCAACCCCACCGCCGCCGACCTCGGTGAAACGGATTTCCCGCGGTATTACCATAAGATATTGGATTCGTGAACCAACGTATTTATTTTACGTGATGGCGCGCGATAGAGTCGCCGCTAAAAGTGGAGCCACTGCCTCGTGTATGTATCTCGTCAAAAAAAAAAAAAAAAAAAAAAGAAGAAAAAGGAAAAAAGAAAAAAAAAATATATAGAAAATTCGATCGAGCCTATGCAAGCGGCGTTGTAATTTTGCGTTTCTGAAATCTCTCTCACGCCGTTGTCGAGCAAATGTAAAATTACGCGTAATAAATAATGACAAAGATGATTAAGCGGATTGAGATAATCAAGCAAATAATCCAGGATTCGGTGGAACAGCTTAATAAATAGATAAAACGCCGCGTCGTCCTTTCTTGTATCGATATATAATCATTATCGACGATGCGGACCGATACGGGGTTGCGTAGCGGTAGTTTAATTACGTTTTCTGCAAGCCCCGTAGGTGCGACGATGATAAATGGGGGGGTGTATGCGCTACAACGGAAAGTGGTACTTTTGGTATATATACCTCGAGCCGGAGCGCGGGATGGGGCGCGGAATGGCGACGAAGGCGCCGTCCTCGACAAAGCTGACTTCCGTGCTCCTGGTGGCGTCGAATTCCGGCGAGCAGCCCCACGTTACGGCTGTTGCCTCCGACTGGCCCTTCCTCGACCTGGCGTACTCTATAACTTTGGCGCCGTTGTAAATTATGTCGGCCATGCATCCTCTCAGATAATCCGTGTGCCCTGCGGATCAAACGAGAACGAAAAAGTTGGTCCTCGCAAATTGGTTTCGATCGATCGATCGATCGGAAAAATTATGCGAAAGAACGCGTAATGGCCGCACGAGTCACGGACGCGCTTTCGCGAATAAATCTGCAAAACAAGCACACGTTTTACAAACGAGCTTCGCAGGTGGTTTCCATTAAACATTACATTAATGAGGTCATTATTGATTCGCGCGTTTGAAATGCTATGTAGAAATATAACTGCGAACGATTTCAATTCCAGACGAATGGAGGCTTTTAACAGCGGCGCGCGCGTCATCACTTTTTATTCCTTCGACCGGTAGATATCGTTATTAATAAATCCAGAAGAAACTAATTAGACGATCGATCGTTGCGCATTTGTCATCAATCGCATTGTCTGGTAATTAATAAACGTAAATGTTTCTTTAATATTCTTTTTTTGTTTAACAAAACTTCCCACGTTAATAATTCTTTCATCGGGAACGAACGGCCGAATGACGCAACGCTCGCTCGATTCTCGCGCCTGATCTCACTTAATTGCAACAGTCGAAGTGTGTTCCTTGTGAAATTGAATTTCGCCGAGC